TGTCATAACGTCTGATGAGGACACTTGTCAAATAGGTTGGGACTGTCAGATCGATGTAGAAGAAGACAGTTTATGGGGTCATGTCGGACCGTTTGTAGGAAGACAGTTTATGGGTCATGTCGGACCGTGTAGAAGACAGTTTATGGGGTCATGTCGGACCTGTTGTGAAGACAGTTTATGCGGGTCATGTCGGACCGTTGTAGAAGGACAGTTTACGGAGTCTTGTCGGACCCTTGTAAGAAAACTAACCGGAATCTATGTCGGGACAGTTTACAGAGTCTTGCCGGACCCATAGGAGCTAACCGGAATCAACTGTCGGGACAAGTTTACAGAGTCTTGTCGGACCCTTTAAAAAGTCGCACCTCAAAAGGTGCGCCCCAATTTTTCAAAAGGCGTGCCATTCAAAAGGCGTGCCCAAATTCATCAAAAGACGAGCCAGACATCGATGGCGAGGCACGAGTGCGGCGCCTTGGCTTGCGCTGCCCGTTTGTTCGGCGGGGCAAGAGCCGCGCGCCGATGCGCGTGCTGCCTCGGCTATTATAACCAAGGTTGAGGCAGAGGCTGTGCAAACCAGTTGGAAACCTCTGAATTTGGCAGTTGAAAACTTCTTTCATCTCCCATAAACCCTGCTCTGAAACACTTAGCAACCACACACCATGCCTCTTCTTCCCGTCCAGTTACCCAGAACCCTGCTCACGCTCTTTCCAGAACTGAACGAGCCCACAAGGAAATAACTGCGTGCGGTGGCCAGTGAACCGCAACCAAAACACCTCTGTTTTGCTCCAGAACTTTCCGATGCCGGGTCGGTGGAGCCCAAAAAATGGGTCGCAATGCAAACTGATATTGAGGCTAATCAGTATACTCTGAAGTCATGCGTGGAAAACCATGACGGGCTGGTCACAAATTTGGTTCGAACCGGCTGCAGAGTAGGACCAAATGAGCCTGTGCAGCATTTAAATTCCCAGCTGGCTCTGCTCCAACGCATGTATAAGGCAGCCGTGAGCACGAGAGTAAGCCTGGCTAAGGGCAGAAAACAAGGAGCTCAAGCGGAAAGCCACCGTGATGTCCGATTGGAGGTCCTCCATATGCTCAGTGAGGAGTATGGGGGAGTGATCAGTTGCCCAGTGGAAGTGGACGAACACGAGGCAACACCGTCAAGGGACCGCCCCAGGACGGAGGCAAGAAGAAGAGACCGGCAGAGTAGAGAAAGAACAAAAAAAAAAAAAAAAATTTTCCCCCCACTTTTTTTTTGGGGTGTGGCGTGTGGGTGTTTTGTTTTTTTTTTTTTGTCCTTGTAAAAATGTGTGATCGGGGGAGCCGCCGATTTATGGAATAAAGGTTGGTGTGCCAGTTCGTCTTCTTCCTCCTTCTTTTCCTCTTTTTTTTTTTTTTTTTTTTATTTTAAATTTATTTATTTATTTATTTAATTTTATTTTTTTTGATTTATTTATTTATTTATTTTTTGTTTTAATGAAAAAAAAAAAAATAAATAAAATAAATAAATAACTAAAATAAAATAAAAGAAAAAAAAGTGGAGCAACGTGGGTGAGGTGCAAAAGGGGACATGGTGGGAGTTTGAGGTAATATAGTATAATAAAAAAGAGAGATATATTTATGTATGAAAGAAGGAAGATAAAATAAAATAAATAAAAGGGATAGTGGGATCAGACGGCGTGGTGTGAAAGTGGAGTGTTGAGGTAATATAGTATAATAAAAAAGATATATATATATATATATAGATATAAAATAAACAAAGGTGGGTAAAATAAAAAAATAATGATGGATGTGCAAACTTTCGGTGACTTTGCAAAAGATGAATTAAAATAAAAAAAGAAAAGAAAATGGAATGAGTAACAGGAGTGTATTGAGTATTTAATATAATAATAAAAAATAAAATGTGTGATTGGAGGAGAGAGAAAAAGGGTGGCGTGAGGGACATGCCCATGTGGGGCAATTGCTTTAGCAGCAGTGTCGGTTCCAACACTCTCTTTGAGCCCTAACACTCTCTCTCTCTCTCTCTCTCTCTCTCTTGCTGATCGGTGATAGATAGCGTCGAGAAGCATACACAGAGAGGATGGGGAGAGGAAAGTTCAAGGGCAAGCCAACTGGTCGACGCCAGTTCTCCACACCCGAAGAGATGATTGCTGGTACGTCTGCTCGTCCTCGTACATTTAAACAGGTAGAAGCTGAAGAGAACGAAGAGGAGAGATCTGAAGAAGAATGGGTCTGGGGTTTTCAAGAGCGGTGATCCGGCGAGGCGCGCTCGTGCGATTGTTCAGGCCGTGACTCACGACAGTGACCTCGTCTATATCGGCTATCACCCCGAGCCCTAACTGGCCGGCCGACAAGGCCAAGAACGAGGATTGCTGGACTGATGTTGAATATTGCAAGCAGAATGGATTATGGTATCCACTTTCTAAAACACTAGCTGAGAAAGCAGCTTGGGAATTTGCTAAGGAAAAAAGTTTGGATGTGTAGAGGTCCGGCGGAATAGATTGAGGTCCGGCGGGCGACCAAGGCGAGGTTGCCGCCCGCCGGTGAAGCGAAAAATAGTAAGTGCTTAACCTTGCTCTGATACCATGTAAAAAACTTAAACTTATGTATTATTGATTGATATATTGTTGTGTTGACGAAGTTATGTCCGAACTCATGTATTAAATATCAACTATGCTATGTTTTACTATACATTGACATGTTTCATTATGAATGGATATCCTATATTCTTGTATCAAATTTATAAAGATGGCATCCTTGGGTTAGTCCTAGCTACTAGAGGATCCTAAGTGTGCTAGTAGCGCAATGTTAGAGATCTCATTTGCCACCTGAGGGCAGGTTCGTCTAGTCGGTTTTGGGCCAGTTAGTTCCCTTGCCTTGTCTTGCTCTGTTGGATGTGCATTATCATGTATGGAAAGTTAAAGCTCTTGATAAGATACAACTTGTTTTGATTAAAGCTCATGAAAGCATATGTTTTGAATTGTATAAAACTCTTGTTTCAATAACCCTAGTGTTTTGAAAAAAACTATTGATGTTTATTCATTGTACCACTTTGTTATAATACTATTCACTGGACTTTGGATCACCCCCTCTTCCTATATGTATGTAGGTGAAGAAGAAGATTAGGCTTGAAGAGATCATAGTTGTGGGCATATGAAAACTAGTTGCAAGCCATACTTGTCGGAGTTTAAAAGGCCTAAAAGCCTTGTAATTATTAGCTTTGGAAGAAGGATAAACTATCTTGTAGGCGGTTGCATTTTTGTAAGCTTTGTACACACGTGTAATATTGAAGAAGTTAATGTAACTATTGTATGCTTCATTTCATATACTTATGCACATGCTCTGAATGGATGACTCAAATGGATTAAATCCACAAAAAAGAAATTTTAGGTATCAAAAACAAGTGAAACAGGGCTATCCAGTCTGTGCCCGCATGTGCAGATTGTTGCAGGCCCTTCAGGGAATTGGGTTGCACTTGCAGACCCTTCAAGTGAAACTCAAGTGCTGAGATTTCCATTAAAAAACTTTAGATTTCATCATTCAAAAGCATGGATTTTCACGCAATTCTTCTTAACCTAGCCTCATTTCTTCCATTTCTTTCATTCAATTCTTATTCAATCGCAAGTCTTACATAGATTTCCTTAAGAGTGATGATATCTTCATGAAATACGGGAGAAAATCTTACCTTGGTGTGATTTTTAGTTGATTTTTGAGTTAGGATTTGAGCTCTCTCTCTTGGTTCTTCTGCTTCCTCTTCCTTCTTCTGTCTCTCTTCTTCTCTCCTCTCCTCTCTATTTTGCTCCGGCAGAATTCTACCTCTCCTAGAACTCGTTTCTCTCTTCTAAGCTTTTTTTTTTCTTCTTATTTTATAACTAAGGGAGACACTTGTTTCTCTTGGGCCTGTCTTTATCCCTCCAAGTAAGGAGGTGTGCAAAACTAAACGATGGTGTGTGTGGTCTCGCCTAGGTGCATGCTTCACCTACCTCTTTAATCCTCTCTCATTAGCATAGTCAATCAAGCCTAGTTCTAATTAATCAAGGGTAATCTCTAATCTTTCATTAAGTTAATTAATCTTATTTAGGTTTAATTAAAGCAAAAGCACAAAAATGAGAAAAAATTTAAGGGAGACAAGTTGGCTAATGAAGAGGTTAAAAGGACAATTTGAGATGCCAAGTTAAAAGCCTATGGCAATCTTTATGCTAGATTAAACAAAAGACTTTAATCAGGTTAAAGTATATAAAAAAATTGAGTATTTAAGGGTGTTAGCGAGTAATCTGGATCTTGAAAAAATTTAAGGTATTATTAGGGAGGCAAGCTTTAGAGTAGGGGCAAGGTCACCATACTAAAGGTGGTCCCTGAGAGGAGGTTTGATGTAGATGGCTGAATCAATTGGAGGTTGCCACACTAAAGGTGGTATTTGATAGAACCCATAGGACCATCATCGAGGCAACCCTTAAAAGGACCAAGCATGAACCACATGCTAAAGCAAATGCAAGACAGACATGACCTGATCCATATGGAAAGCAAAAAATACAAGATGGATTTTTCATCACGTGTGGACCCATTATATTATGACACATGTTACAATCAGCCAACTGTTCCGTATCATAATTAATTCCACCCTGATAATTAAGGCATGGTGATTCACTGGGCCAGCTTCTGGCTTGACCTGGCTGAAAATTGTCACCTTGGACCTTGTTCTTGTATATCTCTGGTAGATTTGTCCATTATCACCAGAGTTGTTTACCTTATCTGTGACACGAGCTTATTATGCCGATTAACTCATCTCCAGTTTTTCTCACTGTAGTTATACCTCTGCCAAACATGTTCTTTCTGTCACATCAAGTATATCTATCTGATGCACTTTATGTTGATTAATAATTCAAATTCCATTTGATATCTGTATTCTACTTACAGCAATACAAACTCTTCTTGTTCAATGAGCCGACATTGATGTATGTCTGGTTACACAACTGTCTCATTATATATCTGTTTTTATCTTGCAGTTATTTCTACCCTACTCAACTTTGTTAAAATGTTTAATCGTTCACATGACGAGAACTGTAAGCAGCTGGAGCTTGACAAAAAGAAAGCCGAGAAAGAATCAGAAAGTGAGAAGTTGAAGACACATGCTTCACAGAAGAACTCTGAACACTTGTTACAATCTCAAATCAAGAGTATCAAATAATTTGATGATGTTACTTTTCTCCTTCTGCTACTCTTTCTTTCTCTTCCTAATGAATAAATATTATCGTCTGCTCGGTAAAAAGAAATGCAGCTGGGAAATAGGAGTGGGAGGGATAGTGCGAGTGCGAGGAGTTTGTATATTTGGGCTGAGATGTTAGGTGTAGAGTTGTAAATGCCACAATCTGTAGCAAAGTAGAGCCTCGATCATTATTTCAACAGGTATACCTATTACTGTTCCCTCCCTTCAATTGCTTGTATTTTTGTTTAATGAAAAGAGAATGTTTTTTTTCTTCCTGTTTCTCTTCTTTTCTTTTCTTTTAATGCCTTTTGTTCCATAATTTATTAATTGTATCCTTTTTTTGTTTTTTAATGTTTTGGCAGGGGAGTTAATGCAATCCGGTCGCAACTTGTAAAATATTTACTGACATATTGCAAAAGTATTTAGTTCTTCCATATCATCCTTTTGTGGTTTTTCTATTTTGCAGCGTTTTCCTAATTTTCATAGTTATCATGTACATTATAATCTCTCTCTCTCTCTCTCTCTCTTTCTCTCTCTCTCTCTGAGTTAACTTGGAGCAATATTTTTCTCTTCTTGAGTATGGTTTCAGGGCAGCAATTAGTTATATAGAAAAGGTTTTATACATTACCGAATTTTCTGGTATTTTAAAGGAAGTTGGGAGTTGCTAATTGTGCATGTACTTTTCTTCCACTAAATTAAAGAGATTTCTTCAGACAAGCTCTAGTGATTTTTTTATGTAAAAATGTTTTTGTTTTTTTTGTCAGAACATGAAAACATTTATATTAAAACAACAATATACCGAAATAAGACATCAAAGGGTCATACAAGCTATACAACAAAACGGAAAAAAAAAAAAAAAAAAAATGAACAAACAAACAAAAAAATGACAAATCTGTCAAAAAAAATTAGTTACGATTTAGAGAAAATCAATGATCTTCTCAAATATGTGATTGAAAAGTAAGATTTGTATCAAATCAAGCAAGATTTGCTTGAAAATCAGCCGTCGCTGTCAACGTCATTCGTGTTGTCGCTGTCTAACTTTGCCATCATCGTCGTCGTATTTTGAACATTGCCAGAAATTACAGTAAAAGAGGAAGGATATCCAGAAATTACAGTAAAAGAGGAAGGATATCTACAATGGTATGGGAAAATACTTGAAAGTGAAGGGAACTATTGTGAGTGTCGAAGATTCAAATATCTATGTCGAAATTGAGAGAAAAAACTCTCAAATTCTATTTTAGACATAAAAAGTTTAGATCTATACTTGAAAATTATAAATCTATATTTTAAGAGTGTAAATCTATATTTTAAAAGTGTAAAAAGAGTCATTGGAGCATCGTTCAAATATTGTCAAAAATGTCCTAAAAAAAGAAGCTCTGTCCTCTATCTAACCATGTTTTTTGTATGTAAAAATGTTATATAAACAAGAAATGCCGAAAGAGACACAATTGTGATGCATAAAATGTAACAACTTGTACGGAATTCGCTGGGGTTCTCCCCTGGTCTTCCACTCTCCTACAGCTCGGCAGATAATGAAAGTGGAGTCACCATAAACTTCGATATCTCGTATTCCCACAGGGATGCTTGGAGACTTATAATGAATGCTTCAGACTCAGTTACTTGGTGCAAGCAAATTTCAGTTTCACTGCAATTGGGGAAATTGTAGCTCCCAAGATTTGCAAAAGAATCCCTTACCTATTACTGCTACGGCACCAAAATTTTTATTTTTTATTTTTTATGATGGGTGTCCATCTCTTAAATCACTTACAAACCATCTATAATAGTTAAGTTCATACTTCGTCACTAATAAGTAAGGGTTTGAACTTAGAATGTTTGCATTTACAGCTTGGTCAAGCACAATACAAACCATCTATAATAGTCAAGTACATACTTCGAGTTTGAACTAAGATTGTTTGCATTTACAGCTTGGTTTGTACTGAGTAACACAAATTGAATGTTACTTTCAGCTTTCTCTTGTGCTTGTGATTTCATCAAAAATGGGCCGGCACCGTATGGGTAGTCACCATTACTCATTATAGTTACTATAGCGGTGTGATTGAATTTTAGAATTGTAATAGTCAATTGTTGAGTAAGGCAACATCGGTAAGAGTAACACCCATTATCATCTTTATTAAAAACTGAAGTCCTAACAAGCAAAAATGTTTCTACTAAAAATTAAAAGTTCATCTTTTCTCTTTTAACTTTTATTTTTTTATTTATTCACTCAATTAAAGATTGTAACTTGTAAGTATTTTATTTTATTTTATTTTGTTTTTTTTTTTTCTTTTTTGTTTTTTTTTTTTTGAGAAACGTAAATTGTATGTTGTGCTATTTGTATTACTTGAAAATATAAATTACTAAAATAACAACAATGATATTCAAATTACTTCTTTGAACATATGTAACTTGCAAATTTGAACCACTATAGCAAGTCTATGATTATTAATAAAAAAATAAATAATAAAATGGTGCATTATAAATTTATGACACATAAAAAGATTTTTTATTGATAAATCTTATTTAGAAGTGTTCTAACTCAAGAAGTCCATGAATGAATTTTTTAACCCATTTAGTCTGATGTATTTATACTTCTATTCTATAAAGTCCTTTTTCTTGATTTACATTATTTTCTTAAACTCTTATGCCTTTATATTTAATATTGATATTTAATGTTGGGGGAGGAGAGATAAGGGAAAGGACCAAGATATAGAAAATTTCATACACAAATTAAATAATATTAATGTTATTATTTTATATTATTATATAATGTGAATATATTTTTAATTGACAAGACATTAAAAATAATGTGAACATTTTCTCTCATCTGATGTGAATATATTTTTAATTGACAACACATTAAAAATATTATGGACGTTCTCTTTCATCTGATGTGAACGTTCACAACACTTTTTCAAGAAATTTTCTCTCATCTAATGTAGTGATGTGAACGTTTACAACATGTGAACCTTTTTATTTTTAATTGTTAATACATTAAAATAATGTTCATTATATGTTTAATTGACAACACATTCTTATTCACAACATGTAGTGATGTGAACATTCATAACATGTAGTGATGTGAACATTCATAACATGTGAACATTCTCCCTCATCTAACATAGTAATGTGAACGTTCACATTCGTATGTTTTAGTATGAATATTTACATCATGTAATTAACAAAACAATGACAAAAATTTATTTCAAATTAATATGAATATAATGATGCGAATATTCATTTCAATTAAATGATGTGAATATTCGCATCATGTAATTGACAACACAATGATAAAAATTTATTTCAAATTAATATGAATATAAAGATAGTTAATATCTTGATGCATGGAAACTACTAAAACATAAAAACAATCAACATTAAATATCAACATTAATAGGGGTAGGAGAAATTAAGGGTATTTTGGTCTTCTTACCTCAAATAAGACCTAATGGAATAGTCAAAAATAATATAAGTTAGATAGAATACAAATCTTAAAAAGAGGATTTATCAAAAAAACTCCCCGCATAAAATCATTATATATTTTTAAAAAATATGATATTGAAATAAAAATGTGTATTAGGAAGTTTTTGTAAAATTGTATGAAAGTAAAATATTTTATAGATATAATTGTTGCTACCGTTAGTTACATTTGGCAACTATATAAATGCCATCATTATCATTACAACACCTTACTTATGCTTGTTTAATATGAAATATTGATTTGAATATGCATGACCCTCATAATTAGACCTCCAATTATGTTATGAGATTAATTATTATAAGACATTTATTTACAATATAATATTACCTACTTAGTGTTGTGATATCGTTCAAGAAGATTACCCAACCCCTTTATATATATATAATTTAATGGGGAAATAATAGAGAGCTCTAAATATAGAGCTCTAATTTAAGCTCTAATGATGTGTCAAAGTAAAAAAAAATAAATAAATAAAACAAAACAAAACAAAACAAGGCACAAACATCACATCAGGGTGGGACCCACCTTTCCATTAGAGCTATTAAAGCTCTTATATTAGAGCTCTAAAGCATTTTTGAATTTAAAGCAATACTCTTTATTAATAAAACAAAACATACTTATAAGTTTGTTGACCCTTTATGGTTCAGTTGTCAGTAATAATTTAATCTATCTATCTAAATCTATCAACCTTTACCCAATCAAATCTTTGTTAGTTGAAATGGTCACTGTCTAAGCCTCCCTAGGCTTCAACAACTTCGGAGTTAGTAGCATAGAGGCCAATGGCCATGTTTCATTACTTTCATTGGATTAGCAATTGGAAGTAAACCATGTTTGGACTTGAATATAGAATTATTAAATTGTAGTTGGATTATAAATTTAAATAAGAATTTTTAAAAAATTAATATAAAAATGAATAAAATATAATTTTTTTTTTTTATTTCCATTTTCCTTTCCAAATCTTTATTCAAATCCATTGTCTAAACATGGCATAAAAGAAAATTATTCGGTACCCATGAGACATCATGTGGCACATTTCACACACTAATTACAAACTATTAATATGTTTGTTGTTATTTTTTCAGGGATGAACTTTCCTCCATATCTTATTTTTTCATATCTCTCTATACTCTTCGTATGGGGCTTAATTTCGAACCCGTACTGATCATTTAAATCATCTATCTTATCGAATCATCGTTACAGATTTAGAATTGAGCCCTATAAAAAGAGAATAAAAAAATATAAAGAAATGAGTCACAAGAAACCTATTCCTCTGATAATATATATCTAATTATTTACCTTGGAGTTTGGAGGGTTCTTTCGGAATTTGGGTTTGCTGCCTCTCCTACACTGTGTATGAGGGTAACGCAAGTCACGTGCCGTCAACGGAGTGCAATGTTTGCCTGAAGCTTTGTTTCCATTTATTTGTTTACTTATTTATTTATTATTATTATTATTATTTTAATTTGATGATATAACTGATTACACAAGTTGAAATGATTCTTTCCACAATCCCAATGCCTTAATGCCTGCAAATTATGAATGAAAATCCCAACACTCGTCTATACAAATCCCCCCAAAATAAAACTGACAACTGCAAGTTATTCTGTGCCAAAAAAAAAAAATGTTACTGCCTTGTCCGTTGGTTCGTAGGCAGGGCGCGCAAAAAAAATGTTATATAAATTAGTAAAATTTATAAGAAAAAAGTGTTAATTAATGTGTTATATTATAATAAAATTTTAAAAATTAAAACATGATTGATTTTAATGAAATGATAACAATTATATTAGTAAATAAAAAAAGTTAATTAGATGTCTTAATTTATATAGTATTTCTTTACTCGGCACTCTAGTGTGAAGTGGTATTTAAAAAAAAAATTAAACTATTCATGATTGAGATATTTATTTTAAGAGTTTTAATAGTGAATCTCGGCACTTCATAACCATATTAACAAGAGCTACTTATTGAAGAAAAATACATAATATTTATGATTGATTTTCTTGTTGAAGAGAATTAAAGAATTAACAAAAACCAAGTACTTCAATAATACACAATAGCGAAAAAAGAAAAAAAGAAAAAAAAGAGGAGGAGTAATATATAGTGAACATCCTTATTGGAATCTACAAACGATATGAGGATTAAAGATT